TTCATTCACATGCACTGTAGCTAAACCTGAAACTAATTTACAAGAGAAAAGTACCTCAATAAGTCAGCGGGTTTTTTTTTTCTTCTCTCGATCAGTTTATTGCCTCTTTATTCATATACTTGAAGTAGATGCTTTGATCAGAACCCCTCTTTGGACTGAATGTTTTAGTTTTTTTAAACTTGTCTGGCTTTTCTTTCAGGTGTATGACCTCTGCTGACCTCCAAGCAAAGGACCAAAGGGAAGGGGGAAGAGCAAGAGGCCGAAGACAGCAGGCACCCATCTTCTCCTGGGTTTATGGACCGGAGGTAGGAACCACTCAATATATATATCTGTGTTTGTTATATCTAAAACACAAACATCAGTCCCTCTCTTTTAAAAAAAAACGTAAACTTGTCATGCCCTCAACCATTTTGTTAAGATGATCTGGTTCGATATTCCTCACACTAAATAGTTGGTACAAAGTGTCATCCAAACACAACAAGAGGCAAATGTGTTAATACCTGTTTTAAATAACCACAATCAAAGGTGGCAATGCTCCGATGTGACTACTTTTACACTCTCTCTCTCTTTCTCAAATCAAATGTGTGATTCTGTGAAGAATGCTTCAATAACTGTTACAAATAAATGAACCCAATTAACTTGTTTTATAGTGTAATTTCTAACCGCAATAAATCTACGTAGTCAAACATATGTATCAATCTAAGAATAATATTCCAAACGAACTTGGGCTGAGAAACACAAATAAAAGCGATATTCTTGAAAAAGCCTTTATTTATTTTCTGATACAAATCATACAGAACGGATTGATTTGTATTTGCTTTATCGAGTTGCATTTTACACACATTGTTGTGGGGGTCTCACCTCATTAAACATAGTATTTTTACAGGATTTAATGGGCTTTTTGAAAACCTCATTGACCTTGGAATAAATATGAGCAGAATAAAGTGGTCAAGCAGTTGAATATTTTATAGGCAACCTGGAAGTTAACTCCTCTGTTTGTCGTCTGCAGGCGCTTTATAACTACAATGAGCTTTTAAAGAAGGTTTGGGAATGATGCCAAAAATACACTCTAGTGTTAAAAACGGGCTGATGTTATTCATAGGTTTTTGATATGTGATATTATCACAAGACAATAAAGCTTTGGAGAAAGTCTAAAGCCGTATTGATGTTATTGAGTAATGCTACACTAAACCATGACACATTTCTCTGAAGCCAACAACATTTACAGCTTCTTAAGCTTCAGGCTAAAGTCATTTGAAGTCCTTTATTAACCTTCAATTAAAATGCAGTTGTTTGTCTAGCTAAAGCTTCATTTAGGATTACTGTGACTAATAATGCACTTTATTGGAAAACATAAAGAAAATAGCGACTCAACATTTTAAATTGTACCTTAAGGTTTTAGAGAGAAAGACAACAAATGAAGCAATTCCCAATTAAGATTATTTGTTCAAACTATCACACATTTACCGAGAGGACTGTAACCTTGAGATGAAAATTCTCATTCTCAAGTCTCATATTAAAGTGTATACGATATTAACTGTGATAGAGTTACATTTATTGTAGTTTTAAAGTGCATAGCCAACAAAACAAACACTCATTTAGAATTGTAAAACAACTAAAGATTCCTTTGATTCCTTCCTGTTTATTGTATCTTATGCTTAACCATATTTGAAAATACCGTGTGAAGTACACTCCCACTGAAAGACATTGTTAGGTGTAAAAACAGTAATAATATGTTACATACAGTCCTCAACACTTTTTTATTTGAGCTGAGTTTGAATTTGTTGGTGTGTGATTGTGTGAATGTGGTGGGCAAGTTGGTGAGACATATCATGTGACCTCGACTTTGCTGCAGCATAACTGGTGACAACCATGTGTCCATGAACTGATGGGTAGGGGGAAGTTACATTGAGTGGTCTGTCAGGCGAGGAACACAAACACAAACACACACACACACACACACGCACACGCACGCGTACAGATGCGCGCACACACACACACACACACACACACACACACACACACACACACACACACACACACACACACACACAGATGCACAAACACTTCCAACACATGCATACACAGACAGTATATATAAACATGCATGCAAACGGTTCCAAGAACTGCTTCAATTGGGGCATGTGAGCCCATATAAATTCCCCCTTTTCAGAAACGGGTCTTTCAGTTTCACACAAACCAACTGAGTGGGAGGGAGGATAGGAGTTGAAAAAAGGTTTCTATCTTTACCCCTAATATTTGAAGATGTCTCATCTTCTTTTCTCAGGCTTTTTGTCTACGTCGCAACACCTTTTTCGCCAAACCTCAATCAAATGTGGGCCCCCGCTACTCAAGTTTCATTTATTGTCGTCGATGGAGCATTTACATTAATTCATTATTTCCCTGCAGTAATTTACTCATTAGTTAATCAACTCTAGTTTAAAGTTTGTATATACCATGATGACCATATCGTTTTCACCATAAATGGCGGTTGTTTCCCCACATTGAGGCCGTAATGGCACAGGGGTGACTACACAGTGTCCACAATCCAGTCTGCTGCTACTACCGTTGAGTCTTGCCCCCACTTGATCTGTGTCAATAGAGGAAGTTATGTATCTACCATTTCCTCTTTTCAGTCATGAGTTTCTGTAGCATTTGACAGCCCTCCCTCGCTCTCGACCACCATCCTCGCAGCCCACGCCACCCATAGTTAACCAATAGGCAGGTGGCCGTGACTCCTTCTTCTTGTAAAGAGTCAGAGAGGAGAGGAGAAACCAGGCTTGAGAGAAAAGGCTAAAAGGTGAAGTAGTGATCATGATTCAGCGCTTCTAGTAACAATTGTCTCTGTACACATTAAGCGGGCGGTTATCATAAGTAGATACAGTGAGACAACACTTCAGGGAAAGTGAGAATAAACACCCAAACATGAGCAGGCAAAGGGACTCATGCTGCTGAAACTGACCCCTTTCATGTGTGAAGCTCAGAGGGGAACTCCTGCAGAATGGAGACAGCCTATAGTCCTTTTGGAAAAATAAAGATACCTTTTCTGTTATTCTCAAACCAAACATTACTTTTCAACAAAATGAGAAGTAGCCATTTCTTTTATCACTTATTGTTTTGTATTATTTTCAAGAAATTCTCGTCCAACATCTATTTCTTAAATTGGAAAGAATAAATCATTATTCCGGTTTGAGGCGACCATCAGGAAGAGGATTTATTAGTTGTTTTAACCTCATATCTGTTATGTCGGCAAGTACATTACTGTCTAGTTTCTGACTTACTTTATAACACAGCAGTGGATGGTGCAGTTATTCTGTAGTTGATGTAATTAAGGGATTGTAGTTACAATAAGAACCAACCTCCTCCCCTTCTTACGCCGTTTAGCTGATTTATCAGGACGAAACTGAAACATCTTTCACACATGTATGTCCTTCTGTCTTTTTGCTTCTGCAGTTCGGACATTTTTTAATTTTGCTCTCTGGGCTGTTTCTGCTCTTTCTCTATGTTTCATTTTGTCTTCCATTTATCTTTCCATCTGGCCTAGTGGCCTACCATCTTTACTGAGCACAGGAAGAGGAAACTGATCAGGATCAGTTAGTTTTGCGACATGTCTCTCTCTGTGTTTGTGTGTGTGTGTCCAGTGCTTTTGCAATATCTTCCTCTAGAGCAGAAGGTCATCTGTGTAGGAGAGCAGCAGTTGTTGAGACCCCCCCCTGTCATGTGGTAATATTTAGTTTTTTCTAAACACGCAAACAAAACCGCAAGCTCAATTCATTTATTGATTCTAGACATGGTTCATTCGAAAAGGCAGAGTAGTTGGCTTTAAGTACTAATTGAATACACATTGAGATAAATCAAACTGTAAATACACCTCTTTTGTTCACCCGTTCCCACTCATCCCCTATCGACTCACCCTCATCTCCAAAACTGTCCTGATCACCCCACTGAGGGGTAAATAACAATAAAAAACCTACAGAGAGTTGTATCGTATTGAGATGTACCCACACAGATACACAAGTACACCCACAGTGATCTCAAGCTATACTCTTCTGAAATGTATTATTGAAAATGTTCCGAGTTGTAGATTCACTCTGCAGTTAGAGAGCGTCCTTGTGTTAGACTGCATTCAATTGTTACATTTATGTTATCAATTGGACAAAAAAACATGTTTTGTAACATAAAAGCCCTGCAAAGACATTAATATAAATTATTTATATTGAATTAGCGTAAATGAGTTGTTCCTGAAATTAGAAACTGTTCGGCTGCATACATGTATAGAAGTGTTTTTCCACAGTTCATGTAAAATCCATTTATAGTCATACTGTATATGAATTACTTGCACACAGTTCTTTACATTTGTTTACATTTTAAACAAAAAAACATTGGTACAAAATGGAAATCAATCAGAATATTTAAATATATGTATTATATTTAAAACAGTTTTACAGTAAATAATTAAACTTAAGATTGCTTATATCTTTTTAAATACAAATACAGAAATAATTACGACCCACACATTATTTGCTTTGCTGCTACACAACACAATTGTAAACATACCATGGCTTTAAATATCACCCTACATACTGTACACAAAAGTTAAAGGAACAGTGCGGCTAAATATTCAATTGTTTTGTTTTTGGTGTCTATAAATCAACAATGATAATCCTTGGCATTTTTTGAGTTCAAAAATATGAATAATCTATGCATTTTATTGGTTTCTAAGGGCAGATTTTGAAGGAGTCTTATATTGGCTCTGATGAAAAGTCTGACTGAAAAGTGACTTTAAAGTTGTGAATGAACAATTCCTGCTGCAAAATGTCTCAAGGTAATCTTTAAAAAATAATGTAATAACATATGTATATACAAAAGATACAAAATAATTGTATCTCCTTGTAATTGCTCAGTGTAAATCACTTTTGGATTGTAATTTTGTCCCGAGTTAGGGCGCTCGCTCGGTGCTCTGCTCTACGATAAACACAGACACAGTTTGAACCACGAGTGACATGTTGGAACGCCCCCGCTGAGCTACAGCAAGTCAGCTGTTATTGTAACTCATGTTTGACTGTAATCGTATTTTAATTTTTTTTATTACAGTTTTTCACATAATCAGTTGTCTCAAAGGAAATGTCTTCATCCACGCAAATGAGCTCATCAGATATATTCACGTAATTAAAACCACACACGCAGAAATAAAGTTTCTCTCCTGCTCTTCATATTAATGGAGACGTAGTGTGTATTTCGCCCACACACCTGACACTCCTGTGTTCACACACACACACGCACACACACGCAGTGGTGGAGTGTT